GGAGATCGGTGTCTTCTGTTCCTGTTTGCATTTCTCTAAGGGAAATAATGTCTCTATTTGACTGCTTTTCTCAGGTTAGAAGAGACACACACAGATAGAGAAGCCCTTTCTTGCTGCACTCAATATAAAGTTTACAGAACAGCTTATTATGGACTGGTTTTGTGTTCAATCCTGACATGAGTTCAAGGCAACCGTGAGGGTTTAGATTTTGTTTCAGTTCCAGCCTCTCTACAGTCGAGTTTCATATGGGTTCAGATGCAGTCCAACTCTCTGATTACCAGCCACAGGTGTAAAAATAACATTGGCTCACATTCGCCTGTCTCCAAATTGTGATGAACTTGTGTGTGTGTGTGTGATCATACGATGAAAAAACATGCCTAGGGTTGCTCTGTAAGGGGGAAAGGTAATTTTAGCTTGATCTCTCTTACATCCTTTATGAAGGTCACATCCAGATTATGCATTTAAAGCACATGACTTCCCCCAAGGAATCCTGGGAACTGTAGTTCATTAAGGGTGCTGGAAATTGTAGCTTTGTGAAGGGGCAGCTTTGTATAGTTCCCAGGACTCTTTGGAGGCAAGCCATGCAGTTTAAATGTGTGATAAACATTGAACGTTCTTTTGTAATTCAAGAAAACAGTTAATAAAAATTATTTCCAAAAAATAATAATGTATGATGTGGATTTGACCTTTATCTGCCTTTTTGGGGTCAGGGTGGGGCTGTTGTTTTTTTAGCCCTCAAAAAAAATCACATTTTTGAGGATGTTGGTGTTGATATTTGGTGTGGAAACACACTAAACGATTAAGTGCAATAGGCACTTCTGAATAATATTCATTGAGACATACACACTTTAAAGTACAGTGAAAGTGATTTTGACATACATTTTCTGCATCCTAAGGAATTTGTTTTGAAGGAAGGCAAAGCGGATGTGGCAAAACCACTTCCACCACACTTCTCATCCTCAAGGAGTCACTTCCAACAGCTATCTTGTTCCTGTCCATTTGCTTTTAAGTTTGGATAGGATTTTTTTGGGCAGCAGTCTTTAGAGAGAACTGTAATTACCACCCACCTACAGTTATGAGTCTAAGAGAAATTAGATCCTCGTGCACATCCCCGTCAGCAGTACTCAGATATAAACAATATCAGAAGTAGCTGCATGAAACTCAGAGGAATTCAAAAGAAACCCTTTGCCTTCTTAATGCATTCTTCTGCCTTACATTGTGAAGCTTCGGGGGGTGGACTTTTCTAATAGCTTCACTTTAGCATAGCTCTAATCTCCCCACCCCCCACTCCTACCCAGATATACCGACAAACACAGCATAGCATATTATCTACACACCACAAGTGGAGTTATTCATAGCTGAAACTGAAACTTAAGCTTCACATAGCTCTCTAGGGGGAATTCTCTCGCAAAGACTCCGCAAAGAAGCCAGTTGTCAGGCCTCTGTGCTTTTCTAACCACAGCAAACGCAATGAAAGGCTGTTTGTCTAACTGGAAAGGTTTGGGTAGAACAAACCGCACGAGAGAAGGAGATAATATGATAAAGGCAATCATATGCAAAACAAGAAAGTGCTGTTTGTCAGGCTGGGAGCGGGGAGGTGGGAGGATGGGCCATAAAAGTGCTATTTAGAGGGAAACTTAAGAGATCAGTAAGAGGAACCTTACAGATGGGGAACGTTTGACCCCACCATGAATTCTCAACACCCATCATCCTTGACAATGGGGCATGCTGACTGAGGATGATTGGAACTGGAATTCCAAAAACAACTGGAAAGCCACATGTTCCCCATCCTTTCTATACAGGATACTTTAATGCACCCATGAAGGCTGAAATCTGCCTTGAAAGACATCTGTGGGGAAGGAATTTCTTAACTCTTTGCCACTGGAGGTTTTTCTGCTGAAATCAAATGCACACACTTGTGGTTTTTTTCACAGGAAAAAAGAAAACAATGAAGTGGAAAAGGTTGAAAAGCTCTCCCCTGATTGTCTTCCAGGGTAGATAATAGCCCTTGTAATATATCGACTGACCACAAGTTTGGTTCAGACTCTGATTTGGTGTCCAGAGAACCTTGAAGAAGTTTGAGAGAACTTCTTGGGGTGAATGATTCTGCTCAGGTTCCATCCTGCTGTAACTTTCCTTCCCCTTTGACAGAAGTGGATGAAATTTTCAGGCATGCCAGTCCATCCAGAATGGATCAAACCTGCCATATGACAAATAAGGGGTTGGGTTTTTTTGTCCTTGGTACCTTTAAATCTAATTATTTTTAAAGGAATCCTTATAACCTTTGGTGAAGAATTGCATGATATTCACTATGTTGCCCTATCTGAGGGCACAGATCCTGACCAATATCAGCAGGACAGCTTTCCTGGTTTTCCTGCAAGAAGGAGCTGTTGCAAGTTTAGGATGGGTACAAAACAGAATAACTATCTCCCCTTGTGCTTTGTGGGCAATTGGTCTCAACAGATGCTCAACAGGACAATCAGAAAATGGGATGAGGCGAAGGTTCCACTCTTCTGGGCTCAGCTGAGGGAGGAGAACTTCCATCACTGCAGAGGCCACCACTACACTTGCTGAAAGCACAGCAGGATAAATGCTACCACTACGCTCCACCACCACCACTACCAAACCCCCAAACATTGCATGGTGCAGCAAAAAGGGATAAACCTGTCTCTGTCTTCTGCAAGAAATGGCAGTGTTGCAAATATGGCAGAGAAATCACCCCATCCCAATTGTGTTGGGCATTTTGGGAATTTCTATTATTTCCCTAAGTTCTTCCATCCATACTTCCCTTGGTGTGGAAATTTCAGTTTTCTTCCCGATCCTGCTACTACTACCACCTAATTTCTCTCCATGGAAATTTGCACATTTCCACTTTTTAAGGGAACGAATCTATTTTGTATTGTGCTTATTTAAAAAAAAAGGGGGAAGTGTGACTCAGACCTGCATGCTGTTTTCAGAGAAAACTAGGAACAGTTAATTTACAACACTGATCTCTAATTACAGCACTTTGGCTTCCGCCCATCCATGCCAAGTCATCTGAGAAGCAGATCATAAAGTCAGCTCTGAAATAGTCCTGCAGTGCTGCAAAACACAGCCATCCCAAACCAGGCAATGATGTGCATTTTTAAAATCCCAAATGGTCTCAAAGGCAGAGTTCAGACTTCTTGAAAATTAGTGGGCATATATGACTGCCACAGTCCTTGGCTTTCCTGCTGAAATCAGCAAAACTACTATATTTTGTCTCAGCTGAGCTGTGTGCTTTCCTGTCCTCCTGAGCAGTATTCTTTAGAAGAGTTCTATGGAAAGTATCATTTCTTAGGGCTGGGTGTCCATGTTTGATGGGACTACAACTCCCAGCATTCATGACTGCAGGCCATGTGGCTAGGGCTTATGGGATTTTCAGCCCCAAAACATCTGGAGGTGTTGGCTAGTCCCATTGGCTAGCCCTGTGATAGGACACTGTGTAGAAACCCCAGCTTTGTCATTCTCACATCTTTGGAGGAAGGTAACAACACCAACAACATTTCAGATGTAGATTGTGAGTGCTTGAGCCCTCTGGCCAAGGCAGCAGCTAGAAAGGTGAGAAAATGGACCGTGGTGCAGTTCTGCGCTAAGTTCTGCACTATAAACTCTCTGTGCTCACGACAACAAAAAGTCATCCTTCTGCTACTTGTGAATATGTTCAATGATATCTAGGAAACTGTAAATATGTGTCTTTATGCCAATGAAGGGTTAATCGTTACAGCTTAATATTTAACTCTACTGTCCTTATACCTGCACTGAAAATGTCTGTCAGATGCTAAAGACAAAAATCATAACCAGGGGCGCCATTTGGGCAGGACCTTCAAGCAAATGTCAAGTGCCCTGCTCAGCAGAACGAACAGGAGGACAACCCCCCCCCCCAATTCAGCAACACATGGGTTGGTTTGCCACATTTTGAAGTAGCCCTTAAAAGAGGTCACTGCTTGTAAAACCATTAAGATCTTTAAGTCCAGAATCTAAAATCACCTAATCACAGCACTGGTCACGACTGTCTCCACACATTTATTGATAGGGGCATCTAGCTGATTACTGTAGACAAGAAGCCTGAGCTCCTTGGGTCTTGGTCTGATCCAGTGAAGCTTTTGATGTTTTTATGGGATAGTTGGGTGGATATTAAGGATGCTATAGACGAGATTTCCAGCAATGAGTGAGGTCCCTTCCAGACGGGATGCTAATTGCATCCTGGATTTAATTTGCTCATTATTATTTTTTTAATATAAAAAAGATACAAATAGAATAAGCTGGGGAATGAGTGACAATTTTCAGGATCACAACAGACCTGGTGGGTATTTAACCATCCCACCCCCACCCCCACTGTGGTCCTGAAGAGATCCTTCATCTGAAGCTGTTGTTTGCATTGGTGTCAAAAACAGCAGTTTCCTCAGGACTTCAGCAAGGGAGGAAAGGGTTAAATCCTTCTGCTGCAATCCTGCCCTGATGACCTCATTTGTATTTTGGGGGGTGGGGGGTGGGGGAGTTTCACATTGATTTTAAGGGGAATAGAACTTCATTACTATAATTAATTAATTAATTAATTAATTGAAACCCCACTTAATTGCCACAGTGGTTTCCAAGCCAGTGGTCTCCCACACCCTTAAACAAAATTCCAATGGAGCGCTTGAAAATTGCTGCATCTCTGGCAGGTAGCTCCTGCTGGAAATTTAACGGTAAGGATGGCTAGGGGCACAAAAACACAAGGACACCTTCTGAGGGGATTGGGGGAGCTTTATTTCTTACACAAATAAGTGTGGTGGTAATAATAATAATGCTAGAAGGGTTCCCAGAGTATTTTTGAATTTGTGGATCATGTGAAGTTTATTATTAGGATTGGATTTAAAGCATCTCCTGAAGGCGAAGTTGTTTTTATGCAAGGCAACTCTGCGTCTTCTGCAATCTTCTGTCTCTCTCTGTTTGGGGGATTAGTTCTGTATTCATATTTTATGTGTGGTCTGTATGCTCTATCTGAAAAACACAATAAAAATTGTTAGCGCACACAGAGAGAGATTTTTTTTAAAAAGGAAAGAGAATTGTGGAGGTTCTTTGTGGACCACTTAACTATTTTTCTGCCTGTTGTGGCCATTGTGACACGCTGTATGATTTTTAAAGGTATTTTTAGTGCCTCTCTTATTTTTTATCCGGTGGTATTTTATTCCACAGAATGAAAGAAGCAATAAAATGCAATTAAAGATCAATGTGAACATTTAATGCAATGGAGATACCATTTCCTGTCTTCAACCACAAAGACACAGATATGCCACAGGCTGCCAAAATGAAGCTCATGGAAACCAGAAGGTCTGTGGATCACAGTTTTGGGAACCTCTGCTCTAAGTTTTACCTCTCATTGGAGGTTTTGCAGGGGGGTGGGTGTGTAAAAAGAGAGAGAGAGAGAGATCCTAGTACAGTGGTACCTCTGGTTATGAACTTAATTCGTTCTGGAGGTCCGTTCTTAACCTGAAACCGTTCTTAACCTGAGGTACCACTTTAGCTAATGGGGCCTCCTGCTGCCGCTGCGCCGCTGCACAATTTCTGTTGTCATCCTGAGGTAAAGTTCTCAACCCAAGATACTACTTCCGGTTTAGCGGAGTCTGTAACCTGAAGTGTTTGTAACCCGAGGTGTTTGTAACCCGAGGTACCACTGCACTCCTATTGTGATAAAAGTTCGAGGCATAGCTGTCAACTTTCCCCTTTTCTTGCGAGGAATCCTATTCAGAATAAGGGAATTTCCCTTAAAAAAAGGGAAACGTTGACAGCTATGTTTCAAGGGAGGAGCATATAATGCCTTACATGAGCAGCAAAAAATGAAGTCCCGGTACTCCATACTAGTGAGAGCCATTGCAAAAGAAGGCACTGCTTCTAAAACTAAATATTGATAAAAACATGATTGACATCCAGGCACACTGGGACAAAAATATTTCCTCCCCCCCCCCCAATAATTCAGTTCCTGGCAAATCCGCTTCCTTTCAAAGGTGCCTCCATTTCTGCTACCTGAGGTGGCTGCCTTCTACATAATGGTGGGATCTGCTGCCATTGCCACATGGAAGAGGCTTTGGGTTGCATAAATGTAATGCTACCTCAGTGTTCCAGATTTCTGCTTGCACTGACAGAACATTATTCTCCTCTTCTCCCCTTGTGCACCCCCTAAATCTGTTCTAGGGGTTACGTCAACCCTCTGGAGCAAATTTGAGGCAGGTGCAGGGCATGGGGGAGCAGAGAAAGTCCTGTTGTGGAAGTGGAAATCCTTGCCCTGATGGCCATAGTTGCTGAACCCTTGGAGTCCATACGCAGCACACATCCAGAGGTATACTTAAAGGGGTTTTCTTCATATACTTCTCTGGCTGAAACTCCTCAGTCATGCAAACAGCAAGTATACAAGTGCTTTTTAACCTGCTCCCCATCCATGTGTGGAAAAACGGTTTGTTGGTTTGCATGATGGACATATTAGGAACATCTGTCCGGGAGAAATCTGGGGGAAACCCACAGGGTCCTCCGAAAATACCCACACTCTTTTTACAAAGTTAAAATCATTTGTAAAACATTTCCAACACTGTACATGCATATGGCCAACCAATTCTCCAGGGGCCACATACCGGGGGTGATTGTGGCCGAAGGTGGTTGTGTCACCACCCAACATAAGAACATAAGAGAAGCCAGCTGAATCAGACCAAAGACCCATCCAGTCTAGAATTCTGTTCTCATAGTTAGCCAACCAGATGCCTATGAGAAGCTGGAAGCAGGACCTGAACACAAAAGTACTCACACATTCACTCTCTCCCACATAAGATGTTCACACACACACATCACTGACCTTCTCACCACATGGTCTACTTTCCTTTTGTCATCACCACCAAAACTGACAAACTTTGGGGGAGATGGATAAAATGTTTGGGGGGCTGAGCTGTAGATCCAGCCCTACAGACAGGAGGTTGGCCGTTCCTGGTGTAAATGAATAACTAAGTGGAAATAAGCCGCATTCCCCACCAACACCTGCTAATAGGCAATCCAACAAAAGCTGGTCTACAGTTAGCCAAAATTCAGGCACCTCTGAGTTGGTTTGTTGCTCATCAGCCACTTCAGGAACTCTTTGCCAGCCTCCTCATCCAGGAATTTGTGGTAATCGCTGGTGAAAGTGCCATCCGCATGTCTTCTGCCAACGTTCGCGGCCGCTCCAGCTCCTTCTGAGAAACTTAAAGAGGGGAAATGGACAAATAACATCCTTGTGGGTCAGAATAAAAATACCCCCTGCCTAATCCTTAATGTTGCTCAAATTCTCCCCAGCAAAAAATGTATAGGGCCAAGTTTTTGTATCTTCTAGCAAAATAGCACTAAGGACATGTTTGCAGACCTATAAAACAGTTTCTTAAAGAAAAAATAATAATAATTCATAGCAGCTTGCAAAGGGCAAACGTTTGGCACTTTCAGCCAAGACTGAGAGCTTTTAATATCCTGATGATTTCAGTGGCAGGTTTTAAAGCTCATGCTTATCTGCCTAAATAAATGGAACTTTAAAGTGTTTAACTTGGGCTTCTTCACGCTTCAATAGTGTTCGCCTGACCAAATATTACACACAGCTGCTATTAATTTCAGCATGTAATACCAAATCTCACCAGTTGGGATTAATCTAGCATTAAGCAGCTATGACATTGAATCCAAACATCTTATTCTAGTACTGAATTCCTGCTAGTGGGTTCAGGAAATGTTTCTGGAGCCACAGATCCATTTTAAATAAGTGGGACTGCTCCAGATTAAGCAGGTTATGGATGGGAGCCTTCAAATGTGTACAAGAGACAGCTATCTCTACTGTTGATTCATCATCACCTGGGGAACCTTCTGTCTAAACTCTTTGAGAATGTTGATGCAGTATTTCAGTATTCTCTGAGAGCTGTATTTCCAGAGAATAAAGTTGTTTGCCTCATCCTAGACAGTAATATCCTTCTGTGTGAGAGGATGTATATGGACGCAAACAATTTTTAAATTATTTCACAAGAGAACAAGTTTCTTAGTATTATGTGAGCCAGCTCCGCTGCGTGAGACCACAGGAATGACAACAGAACAAACATTTCCTGAGAAAAAGTTCAGTATTCCTTGCTCAGAATTTTAATCAAGTTCAGAAACAGAAGATACAATATCAAACCGAGGGTTCCAGTGCTACTGTTGGAAGCAAAAGGCAATATAAAAATGTATTCCAAGCATGCTGAACCCAATATACTTCAGAATTAAATGTCCCCACATCAGAGCTGACTGTTTCATCATTTATTTATTTATTACTTCTTAATCTCTAGATTTAATTCCTAGGAAGGGGCTGGGAGGCGAGAGGGGGAAATGTGTCAAAATATCTGGCTGTCAGCAACATCAAGGAGTCCTGATGGGTTTTGTAGAGAATCTGCAACAGCCTGCAATATTATTTTCCTCGATCTTTTTGATGATGTGTAAGCATATAAGCATACAGAGAGGAATACTGGCCCTGTTTTAATGGCCTTGGGGGTTGCTTTCAGCAGGTACACAAACAAGAGAACTGTGGCTTGCTGTGATCTTTGCCAAACTAATGTCTTAGATTTGACTGGTAATAATATCAAAGCAGCAGAGTCAGTTTTAAAGAACCATTACATTCTCTCAAAGCTATAAAAGGTCTCAGGGATAATTACACGGTTGTGTTTTTAAGAGAAGAAAAACGGGGGCAGATTTTGAGCAGAAATGTGGCATGCTTAACCCTTTCCCACTTGCCATTTCTCTGGTCCAATTCGCCCCTCCCAGGGTAAAGGGTGAGCCAAGGGCTACACGGCCCATTTTGTTGCTTTTCTCCTTACAATCACGGTTTTCCTTTAAACCAAAGCAAACCACCCCATGCGTTTGCATGCAACATGAGCCACTATGTTTTAGGAAACAGAGTGCAAAAGAGGAGTGTTGCTTTCCCATCTTGTATGGTTGCTTTCTCTTTTTGTTTCTGATTCAATGACTGATATCCAGTAGGATAGGTAAGAGCAGACATATACCATGCCTTGCTGCCAATTACAAAAATGTGTTTTTGTCTATCAGATTATTATCATCACCACCATCCCTCTCCAGCCATTGCCACAGGTATCTTCTCAAGAGCCACTGAAATGCCCAAAGTTATCTATAACCAGGTGTTTCAGAAATTCCTTTTTTTTTTACTCTCAGTTGTCTTTCTTCCTAACTTCCAACATGCATCACCGTGTTTGACTCTCAGATCTCATTTTGCTATCATCATTACAGCAATGTCATAATCAATTTTTATGGCGCTCCTATGGCATACGCAGTGTCTTTTACAGCTGGCAATATAGATTTTGAGCACGGAATCGAGGGAAGGAGGAAGAAAGGCAGGAAGGAAGTTGGGCCCTGCTCAGAAAGAGCTCACAGTCTAAAGGTACAAAACAAGTACAGATAGGACAAAGCGTGTTGATCTTTCGACTGCCAGGCCGCACAGGCAAAAATGTGTAGGGGGCTTGCAGACGTCTCTGAGTGGGCTTATTAAGGGAAGGAACGGAGGCAGAAAGATGCCGTTCCAAATGTGCAGTCACTGAGGAAGATGGATCAAAGTCAGCAGCAGTGGGTAGAACAGGCCAAAAGGATCAAAAAGAAAAGGAGGTTGTCACGAGAGTGGTGAGAACAGGATGTAGGTGGTTACTGATGGAGTACAGGTTACTGATGGAGGTGTTGGCAGCCTAATGTTATGGGATGCTTTGAGGCAGGAAAGGAGGGGTAAATATATTCAACGTAACACACAGCAAGAGTGGGAAGACACACACACACACACAAACACCCTTTTGTAAAGGGATGGGAAAGACAGTGACAGTGTGATGATGAGTTTTTAGCAGCAACTTCTTGAAAAGGAGGGGAGAAGAAGGAGAGGCCTGAAGAGGAGGAGTTTGTACAAACTTTGGAAACGGGGAAAAATGGAAGGGAAAGGAGGATGCTGGGAACAGCGGCAGATTGGGATCCTGGGGCAAACGGGGAACCAGAGAGATTGGGGTTGACAGAACTTGGGGTGGTCAAGAAGCCGGGTGCAAGACGTTTGAATGGAAGCAAAGCAGGATAGGGAAGAAAGCAGAGGAAACGTGAAACCAACATTGATCTTCTGTACCACTTGACCTCATGGAGAAAACGTGACCCATTTGAGCATGAAACAGCACAATCAAAGTCTCAAAAGAACTACGTTTTAATTGGCAGGTGGATCATTCCACACCCATGACAACATTTTCAATTACAAAAGAAGACTATGAAATACAGTGAGAAAGGTGTGGGAGCAATACATTGTGGTTCCAGCAGGCTTCGATTGGTATTAATCCCCCCACCCCCCAAAAAAGCTAAGAAATGCTTAGCAACAGATGGATTCTTACTCTCTTCTTCCTCCTCCATTTGCTAGCCAAGCAATGAACTCCTTGGCAGCTTGGCTCTCCAAGTAAGAGCTGATGTCACTGGTGAAGGTGCCATCAGCATGTCTCTCGTATTCAGCATGACGCCTGGCGAGTCCGTTGCTAAAAGAAGAGTAGTTGCCTTAGAACTAGGAACGCTGGTGAATTTCACAATAATCGAGCATGCACACAAGCACAGCTTCATCCACTCGTTTGCAAGCTTTGAGAGCCGATTGCGCCTCGGGCAAGTGTTAGCAATATTTAACAAGACCGGTTGCGGCGGTGGCAAGAAAATAACAAACTGAAAGGCTGTGTGTTGAAGTTGGCTGTTGTAACTGTACAGCCCTTTTCAAACTCAGATTGGCTGCGCTTCTGAAATGTGTGCTCCTATGAACTCTGCTTAGCTAAGATGATGGCACTAGCCGTGGGTCGGGCACACCAACGCCTCTGTTGCATTGCGGGAAGAAGAAAACAAAGACACTGCAAGACAAGCAAATCACAATCTGCCTGGGGGTGTGCAGATGGATGCTCGATTATGATGGGCAGCGATGAATGTAATGGCAGCAGAACGACAAAGAGCAAAATCCATTGTGCAAAAAAGTTATCGCAACAAAGGTGAACCAAAGTCAGTTATGATATTTTAAAAGGAGAGGGAGAGAGATTGGACCGAGCTGACATGTGATGAATGAATAGCAGACTGAAACAGAGAGAATTTGAGCAAGCATGATGTGAAAAACAAATGAGCTGGTCAGTGACTGCAAACCCCATCCCTACTCATGACTCAGGCTGCCTTCTTGCTTTGTCTTTTTGCTCCCAGCATCTCCTCCATCTCTCTCTCTCTCTCTCTCTAGTGCTGACCCTATAATGAGCCATGTGACACACGCATCTCAGGTGGCAGACTGCCTACTCCATCCACCACTCGTGGATCCACCGGCCACCACTGCCACCACCACTGCAGCCAGCCCACCATTCACTGTGACTGCGGCCACCACCATTGCCCACCCACCAGACACAGACTGCTGCTTCAGGGAAGCAACTAGAGGTGCTCCGAGGTGGCTCTCTGGACATAACACTCCTGAGTTGGAGGCATTGTGGTTGAGGCAGCCGCAGAGAGCATAGACAGATCATGTCAGTTCAACTGCCCATCCCATTCTAGCATGACCAAGAAATAGAAATAGGAGGCATTGCAGATTGGACCAGATGATTCTCAATGGGTAGAGATCTAAGTATCCTCAGAGGGAAGGAGAAGGTTTAGCCCACACCAGGGGCCAAAGGGAGAGAAAAGGGAGAGTGTGAGTGGCTAGGTCAGATTCAGTTGTGTCCACCTGGAAAGAAGTGGGGCAGTTCTAGGTTCCATACGACTGCTTTCCAAAGTGCTAACTTGCACTTGGACACATTTGGTCTGCATTCCCAATAAGCCAGTTTGGTTGTCAAAATTAGCATGGAAGGTTATTTGACTGGCTCTCTGATTCCAGGAATTAAGGAGACAGCTCCACTGCAGGACAAGAGCTATTAAGGTCTTCAAAGGAGACTCCTGCTGCCCTCTCCCCAACACATCCACAAGGAAATGGCTCTAGTGCCAGCCCAGTTTAGATACTGGTAAAGAAGAAATCTGTACTCCCCCGCGGCTCAATCAAACCTGCTATTCGGTTAGGAAGATTTGCCTCAAGCAACTGCTGACACCACAACAATGTGATCCACACCTGTATCTCATTGCAAATTCTAGCATTTAGCAGACCAAGCAATCCTAAGTATAGTAAGCCAGTGGGACCCGCTTGACTGAAGCCAGTGTTAGTTACCCCTATTCCAAACTCAGTTCAGGAGTAGGGCTACTGGCAGCTGAGCTGGCCAAGTCTGGCAGAGGGAAAACAAGTCTTTAAGACAGAGTTTCACTTAACAGCACCCCTTTTTGCTGATGTACCTCTGCAGGCTTGCTAGATCACATGACTTAGCTGAACAGAGTTAAGATCTAGGGTAAGGAACTTATACCAATGTAAGGTCCACTTGATTTGATTCAGCTTGCTACACCAGGATGAAGATGTTTCACTAGCATTTTGCTAACTGAATCAGGATTTGGAGCTTATGCTGGCAGAGCCCAGCTGTGCCAGGAAAAAGCTGGCTGAGCTGAAGATCTTCTTGAGCCGACCTCTCTCAACCCAGCAGGTTTGGGGTTTGAATTGTCCCCTTTATGGCATCTGTAAACAGTTGTCCACAATAGTACCTCTACAGCAAGAGGACATACAGCACGGGCATGGAGATGTATCGCTTGATGAGGAATCAGGATGTGCTTAACGGTGGAGGTGCTTCCATCAACCTTTTGCCGGCCATGAGTTTTGCTAAAGGGTTCCATTCCCTCCCACACACAAAATGCCCAGCCAAATCAAAGGTGTCAAAGATTCCATTCATCCAGAAACCTCTTTTCATTCTAGGATCAATGAGGGTAGGGGCTGATAGCTTCATTCAGGGGAAAGAAGTGAATCAGTGGCCGCCTCTAGTGTAGACCATCTTTCTGAGAATTCTTCCCAAAGACACCTCAAATGGAAAATGGATGTGTTCCCAACCTTTCCTGATGCGATACCCGAGTCATACTGAATCTTCCCTTGCTATTCCCCGCCATTTCAGATTTCCACAAACATACAGTGGTACCCCACAAGACGAACGCCTCGCAAGACGGAAAACCCGCTAGACGAAAGGGTTTTCCGTTTTGGAGGCGCTTCGCAAAACGAATTTCCCTATGGGCTTGCTTCGCAAGACGACAGCCCATAGGTAAATCACAGGGACTGCGGGGAAGCGCCGCGCGTCTTCCCCACTGTCCCCGGACCACCTCCCACGCCTGGCGGGGGGGCGGGGACACCTCCCCCCGCCGCCCCCGGGCTTCGGAAGGCACCTCCGAAGCCGGGGGGGGGGGGAGGGAACACCTGCCGCCGCCGCCCGGCTTCGGAACGGTGCCCGGCCGGGCGGGGGAGGGAACACCTGCCGCCGCCGCCCGGCTCGGAACGGTGCTCCGGGCCGGGCGGGGGAGGGAAGACCTCCCCGCCGCCCGGCCTCGGAACGGTGCTCCGGGCCGGGCGGGGAGGGAACACCTCCGCCGCCGCCCGGCTCGGAACGGTGCCCGGCCGGGCGGGGGGAGGAAGACCTCCGCCGCCGCCCGGCTTCGGAACGGTGCTCCGGCCGGGCGGGGGAGGGAAGACCTTCTGAAGGCGGGCGGGGGCGAAAGTCTTTGCTCCCCCTGCCTGCCTGTCCCGGAGGGCTTTTGAAGGCGGGGAGCAAGACTTTCGCCCCCGCCCGCCTTCAGAAGAGGTCCAGGACCTCTTCTGAAGGCTGGCGGGGCAAAGTCTTTGTCCCCCTGCCTGCCTTCCCAGGGGCTTTAAATTGCCCCGGACAGCGGAGAAGTCCTCCGCTGTCCCGGGTGATTTTAAATGCCGCCCGCCAGCATTTTAAGATCGCCCGGACAGCGGAGAAGTCCTCCGCTGTCCCGGGGTTTTAAAATGCTGGGGGTGGGAAGAAAAGCCCTTGCCTCCCCAGCCTTCAGAAGAGGTCCGGGGACAGACTGTCCCCGAACCTGAGTCTGAAGGCGGTTTCCTAGGAACGCATTAATTGATTTTCAATGCATTCCTATGGGAAACCGTGCATCGCAAGACGAAAAACTCGCAAGACGAAGAGACTTGCGGAACGAATTAATTTCGTCTTGCGAGGCACCACTGTATCACTACTGCATTTCTGTTTGTTTGGAAGTTCATGCATAGTAAAACTATTCCCTATATGCATATTATTTTTGTTAAGTTTTATGCTGGATCTCGTTTCACTTTCCCCACCAACATTTTTAAAATCCCTTGGTTTTTCCCCCTCCACTGAATTACATTATGCTTAGTGATTCTTGTGTCTGTGTTAGATTCATGAGTTGAATGTCTACATATTTTGAGAAGCACCGTTAAAGGCATTTAGTGTAAACCTATGTAAAACTCTGTAAGCTTGTTAGCTAAGGACTACTTCACACTCCTTGTGGACATGACTACATATAACATATTTTACATCCACAAGTAAAAATATAATGTACGCAAACAGGTGCATTGCACAGGTGCATGTGTCAGGAAGCTGTGATGGGCTCTGGTTCCCTGCAACCTGCACCACATGGTATCATGTATCCACTTGGTATTTACCCCCACCTAATGTGTGAAGTAGACCGGGCATCATGATCAATCAAGAGAACATAATCCAAAAGGCAGGTGTGGGTGGTTCTAACAACACACTTGTCCACAATGCCAAGGGAACAGCTACCTGTGATATCATGTCTGAAACTAGCAGACATCATTGTTTTTACCTGACTATACTTGAATTCATTATAAAAATCTAACTTGAGCTACTGCCCTAAGCCCGTCTATTTGTGTGTCACTGTCATGGAATGGAACAGCCATGAAAGAGAAGTCACCCCCAATCCAGGAAGTATCATGCACAAGCAGAAAGAGGTTTCCATGCACACATAACTTCACAAAAAGCTACTGTGTACAAAAAGCCACATTTGGTACACCCTGGGAGGACAGCCATAGTTCAGTGGTAGATTTGATCTGCGTGCAAAAGGTCTCAAACTCAATCCCTAATGTTACCAGATAAAGGATCAGGCAGCAACACTTGGGGAGGGGGAACCTCTGCCTGAGGCTCTGGAGAACCACTGCCATTCCGGTCTAGCTCTAAGGTGGGTGTGAGAAACCTTTGGCCCTCTGGATGTAGCTGAACTATGAACCCCACCATTGCTGGCCAAGTTTGCTGTGGTTGATGGGAGATGAGGTTCAGCAGCATCAGGAAGGGCCAAGCTTCCCCACAGCTGCTATAAGCATCATCATATGTAGACATTACATGTTGGGAGAACTTTTTCCAGGAGGCACACCTTCTCTCCCACCAGATGGTCAGATCTGCATTGTCAGCATTGAGAGGGGAGATTCTTCATAGGCAGTAGCATCCATGTAGCACGCTATTGCACTCAAGGGCTAATGTTTTCCAGATTGTGTGTGTGTATGTATATATAAACTGAGAGCACTTCCAGACTGTTGGTGTTTTCAGGTGGGATGCAGTCACGTACTGGCAAATTTATAGGGGAATGGAACAAACCCGCTTTCCCAAAAGATTGGACTTTTTGAAGTAAGGAAGGTGGCTGGGAAATGTGCTGGAAAGTGTGGGATAACACTTGCCTCGACACAACTGTCACCTAACTTCTCCACAAACAGATCAGAAAAAAAGCTTGTTAAATAGCCAGAATTCTCTAATCTCCCTGCAAACCAAGAGGAATGAGTACTCAATCAACTGTCCACCTGGAAGTACCCTAGTCAAATTGGTTTAGGATCTGTTTTTTTATATTCCCTGTGTTAAAAAAAAACTGAAATTACTTAAAATACCTTGAGAGATTGTCCAGGAGGTTTTCTTTCTCACTCTCTTCATGTCCTTGTCTGCAGCAGAGGTCCATAGGCATTAGGTTATTAAAATTACATTTGCACAGATATGTAGACAGGGGAGGGGCATTGCACATCAGTTAACTATTACAAGCTTAAATGTATACAACAAGAATCATATAGGAATTCCATTACGTCTGCATTTAATTCTATTAAGATCCCAGCATTGTCTTTCGTTAGGGACATAATTTATATATGTATTACAACTGATTGACCAACCATTGCACCCAGCAGCTAAGAATGATCAATCCTGTTTGGTGTCTTAGGATGAAAGACACCTCCAAAAGTGTTTAGGACCACAACTACCATCAACCCCAGGGTGGCTATTGGGAAAAGCTGGGCTTAATCTGATGGGCTGTGGTCTGTTCAAAAGGAACATTGGCACAGCCACTCTTGATATTCCATAACCAATGGAAGGCTGTGAAGTTCTCCTTTGCATTCTGGGAGGCTGTAGGATTGATGGGTAGGGAGGCTGCCCACAGAATGAACTCAGCCACAAAGACAACAACACTCCAGAGGGACCCCTTTCCTGGCAGCTCTCTGCTTGCCCTATGCAGAACATAAAGTGGTAGGACCATGACCTCTTAGATTATCTGAGACTTTCACATATACCAAGAGAGAGCTTCATTTATCAAGTTGCTAGCCAATGTCATCTGATTAAGGCATTGTTCGACAGACTGATGGAACAACAGTGATGGCTGAAGTGAACATAAGACCCCAAAAGAGAAACAACAACAATACACACGACAGTGAAGCAGCAATGGCAACGAAGTATGTGGACAGCAACATATCAAATACTGATACGCATGTGAAAGACACCAAAGTACCAAATGAATTTGGCTGTCAGCATGAGAAATGGTGAATGATCACAACATAAAGTTGTGAAGGAGAAGTAAAGAGGGGGTGGAATAAAGAAAAGGAAACCCACAAACACAGTTGCTTTATTTCAGGAGTTTCCAATAGTACATTACTTTTGCTTAGATTTTGCTGCATTGGTTTTCCAAGCTGTATTCCAGGGAAGGCTGGTGTTCCTTAGAAGCTTAGCTGCTGGTCCTCAGTCAGAAGATTATCAGTGGCTAAGCAATGCTGCAATGTAGTTTCCCCATCACTGTCAGTGCTCCTACAGGGGAATGTTATAGGTCACACTGTCAGTTCATTGAGGGCTACACTGGTGCCTGATCACCTTGGCTGAGAAGTGAGAGGATGCTCCAAAACACTTCCTGGCATCTTCTTCAATGGAATAGGAATACCATGGCAGATGAACTGGAATTCCTCAGTTGACATATCAGCAGAGTAAGGATTCCCCAAAGGCAAGCAATTTGAAAGCCATTACTTTACTGCACAACAGTACTATGGGTAGGATCCACAGTGGACCAATTCCTTCCTTTGTGCTTTCACCTTGTGTAGAGGGGGCATTGAGATGCATCCAATGAACTTCTTCCTTGGACAAGTCTGTTTCACGTAGCCAGCTATGCACACAGTTCACGTCTAAGGATGTGCATATCTGCATGCATAACTTTCCTCCTTGGGCCCACATTCTTCTGGGAAAGAGACCATAGCTCAGTGCATATGCCTTGTGTACTGAAGGTCCCTGATTCAGTATGGTGTCTCCAGTTAAAGATCAGGTTGCAGGTAACAAGAAACACCTGCTTGAGAGCTTGGAGAGTGCCTGGTAGTAGAGTAGATAACTTTGGGCTTGATGGGGAAATAGTCTCACCCTGACATAAGGCACAGTTTTTTTTCCTAGGGGAAGGGCACATGCTTCATATACTAAAGATCCAAGATTCAGTTCCTGGCATCTCTAGGAAAGTAGGACTAAGAAAGACCCCATACGAAACTCTGGGGAGGTGCAGCCAGTCAGTGTAGACAATAGTGGGTTAGATGGACAATGGTCTCACTTGGTATAGTGTTCTATAGTCCAGCCCAAATGCACCAGTGTATTACAGTACTATAGCTGGAACATACCTTGCTCTGCTTTAGGAGGCTGTGTAGACTGTTCTGTCTATTGTGTTATCTTCTTTTAAACCACGTGGCAGTTATTATCTTGATCCTACATATGGTAATGTTAAACTTCCAAATAAAGCTGTTCCAAAAATAATTTCACTTAATGGCCTTACAACTTTGTCATTCTTCTGATAACAAAGTTACAGAGTTGAATGTTTCAAAAGGTCCTCATTGTCTCATCTCTGAAAATGTGTGTGTGTGTATGCATTGTCTGATAGGATGTTTTAAAGGAACAGCTTTAAAATAAAACTGATATTCTAGTGTACAGGTTTTATTTTGCTATTGCCGTGTCCTGGTTAGAGCGCTTGATTAGGGCCTGAGATACCAGGGATGAAATCCCCACTCAGCAATGAGCCAAAAGGCATACCAGCAATGATAGTCAGAGTTCAGAGGAACGATAGCTGCACCAACACAGTATCATTCTACTATGAGCGTGATTGAAAAAACACGCACTGGATTGTAGCCAAAGGGTTCAGATGTTCTTCAGCTTTAACTCTATTGATCAAATGGGAGTTGCTCAAGTAGACAGTGTTTACTGTTGCACAATTCGCATTCCTTTCAGTGGGTTTTGCATCAGAAAACTTTTCATTTGATTGTTAGTTATTGCAACTAACACCTGTTGGAAAAATGTTAAAATGAGATTTACCTAGCATCTGTATCTCAGGGTGCTGGAAATTATGGAGTGACACATTTGCAGCAAAGAGATGATGCTGAGTTCTTTGTGAAAAGATGCTTTTGTAATAGATTCGAGTGATGCTATTTGCTCTGATCTCTCAGCATAGAATGGGCTGTAAATCAGAATGGATAGATGGACGAACAAACAATTGGACAGATGACTGGATGGATGGATGGATGGATGGATGGATAGATGGACTGATTGATTGATGGATGGATGGACAGATGCATGGATGAACACTGAAGCTCTTGGAATTGATCCAAACTCTACATATTTAGTTGGATGAAGTTATCCCCTCATCATGCAGTCTCCTTGGTTTATATGGTACCAGGTACACCAGCATAAGACTTTCTTGTGCGTGCCATGTGGCAATTTATAAGGGGGTTCAGGTGGGGTGTGTCCATTTTGCTTACCCGCTTCTTTTAGTGTTCATTAACCACTGTACAAAATCTTGAGCTCGTATCGTGTCCAAGTACTTGCTGTAATCGCTGGTGAATGTACCTTGTGAATGACGTTTCACTTCATTCAGCTGTCTAGAGTCATCTAATAGTTCGGCCTGGGAAGCCTTGAAGGATCTATAAGTGTGGTTTGTAACAAAATATTTGTACTGAAAATTGCACATTTTGAAAGTCACCGTACCATGTATCAACCTCCTCATCAGAGATATGCAACTAATGTACTAGAAGTAATAATGGCTGCTAAGAAAGGATTGTTAGTTGCTTAATAACAGTTTGGTAATGGGAAATAGAGATTTTGCTTACACAACAAAAACCAAAGGGACAAAAACATCAGTGGTTCAATTGGCAATTTCATTTGCTGCTGGCTTATCCAATTTTTTGGGGGTGGCAAGATTAAATGATAGCATCTTAAACGGACTCTGTTACCAGAAAATATGTAGCCCACATTTGGGTTATTATAGCATTAAAAGTTTGATCTCTGGTGTTTACCTGGATTTCTCTTCTCTGTCTTGAAGGGCACTTTGCCAGCTGCTCTGTACAATCATTAAAAGCAACCCAGCCACAAAGTACATGTTTTTCATTTTCGTCACCTGTAGGGCAGAGTTAGAGGGGGAAATAGTCATTGCAGCCTGCTTCATACACTCAAGACCTGTCCTGAAGACACTGAAAGATGGATCAGCCATTATACCTCCATGTGGAAGTCACAAAGAACTATTCTGTGTACCAGAGGAATTTACATAGGAAGAAGCCTCAGACCAGATTAGATGATCCATTCATTTAATTCACACACCCCAGACCCCAGTTTATGATAAGCCTGAAAACCTCAATTTGTGTTCAAAGCAGTAGGGATCATTTAATGTACCACTCTGACTGACAGCAGTTCCCCCAAAATCTCAGGCAGAGGTTTTCCCCACCACATAGTTCCTGACATGTTTAGCTGGAGTTGCCAGAGATTGACTCTGGAACAGTTTGCATGCTAAGCACATGGCCATACCTTTGGGGGAAAGCCATGCTTATGAAGAATCTACGTGTCAATATAATGAAATCCTAATGGTTGCTAGCACAGGCATAAAGTCTTCCAAACATTCTAGGTGAAACCACATGACTAGTGGATTTTACAGCCCCAACCTGGAGTGTTGCTGTCCAGCAGATACAACCCTTAACAGCTTTTGTCACAGGGGTGTGACATATGAATATGAGCCTTTCTTGGAAGGACACCCACTGAAATCAGTTTGACTTCCTTCCCTGTGGAATGAATCTCCATAGAGACTAAAAATTAATAGATGGATTTAGAGGATTAAATATGATTTAGAGCAATGTATCCCAAACTTGAGTCTCCAGCTGCTTTTGGACTATAGTTCCCATCATCCCTGACCACTGGTCTCACCAGCTAGGGATGATAGGAGTTGTAGTCCGAAAAACAGCTAGAGACACAAGTTTGGGAAACACTGATTTAGAGAGTGTAAACATGATTACTCCATAACTCAATTGCGTAAATAATGAAAAGGAATTCCTAGCACCCTTCGATATGGCACAACTTTTATGTGGGTTTCTATTTTTAGTTACCAACAACTGGCACAATTCTGCAAAACTGAGTTATGCAACCACGTCACTCTGAAAGCAGGGGCACGGGACTTGATCAAAGCTAACAAGCTCTTTTGCTATGTTAGGCCCTGTTTTGTAACATGTTTCGTAAGAATGCACACAAACTGTCCTGCCGCCACTGCTGCCTTGCCTGCCACCGCCTTCCTTTTCAGATTTGCAAGAATAACGCAGTCCTGCTCTCCCTTCCTTATGTCCTTCAGCAGTGCAATGCTGCCTCCTAGTGCTATTTCCCAAGAGGGCATGCTTCTTCCCAATGATATTCTAAAAATCTCAAGCCGATGCTCTCGATGGCCTCTCTTAGGGATGAATATATATGCTGATGAAGACACTCTCCACAACATCTGAATCAAGAGCGGCTATGCAAGCTCTGGACCAGTGCACAAACACAGTGGTGGATTGAATGAGGGCCAATAAACAGGGTCCGAACCTTGGGGGAGATGGAAGGTTTTTGGGTCGGTGGCTTCTGAGTCTGAAATATAAGCCAATTGAGAATTTATAATGGAAATTTTTTATTTTAGAATCAGCTAATGAATATTAGGGAAAATGTGGGAATGAAACTATACGACTCTAGCAGAAATGATATCAGGAGCTATGTATATTTGGAAACTAAGATTTAAGTCTTAAGGTACTTAGGGGTAAGATAAGGTTAAATAAATTAAGGTAATCTGAATAACAGAATATGGGGAAAGATGGTAAGGATTTGTTGAGTTAATTATTAGGTTAAATTGTTAAGATAAATTTTATAACAAAAATTGAGAAAGATGGAAAGAATTTGCTGAAATAATTACTAAACTATAACACAAAAACGGAGGTGTGAGGAGGTCAATGAAACAAGCAAATGGAAATTATGGATATGCAATTTGGGATTTGTGTTTTTCTTCTTTTTTCTTCTTTTTTATTTTCTTTTGCTGTATTGTATATTTTGTGCTTTTCTCTTTTTTTTGTATTGTAGTGTTGTTTTTTATTTTTTCTCTTTTTTGTAATTCCGAAATTATCAATAAATATTATTTTTTAAAAATGAAATATAAGCCAATTGCCTGTTCTGGATGGGGTGATGCACCCTGTAAAGGATCAGGTACATAGCTTGGAATACGCATGGACGCACCTTTGTGATTAGAGGGCCAAGTGACCTCTGTGGCCAGGAGTACCTTTTCCCAGCTTCAGAACATAATAAGAGGCTGTTGGTTCAGGTCAATGGCTGATCTAGTTCAGCATCCTGTTCTCACAGTGGCCAACTGGGTGTTTGTGGGAAACCTGCAAGCAGGAGAGCACACTCCCCTCCGATGGCTTCCAGCGACTGGTATTCAGAAGCATTGCTGCCTTTAACTGTGGAGGGAGAGCACAGGCATGTGGCTAGTAGCCATTGATCGTCATCTCCTCCATGGATTTGTCTACTTCTCTTATAAAGCCAACCACATTGGTGGCCATTGCTGCCTCCTCGGGGAGCGAGTCCCATAGACTGACTATGTGTTGCATGAAGAACTGCTTTCTCATATCTGCCCTAAATCTTCCAACATTCAGCTTCACTGGAGGTCTGCAATTTCCTGTACTATGAGAAAGGGGGGAAAACTTTTCTCGAACCGCTTTCTCCATAACGTGCCTGGTTTTATAAATTTCTGTGATATCACCTTTTACTTGCCTTTTCTCTAAACTAAAAAAACAAATAAAACCAACCCCAAAGCTGCAACTTGAAAAACAAGTCCTTAGCAGTAAACTCTGTTGAATTAAACAGGCTTACAAGCCAGCATGTTTAGAATCAAGGTGTATTGCTGCTAAACTATATACAATAGTATACAGAAGATTTTATTTGTTGTTGAAAAACCTAGGTGTGTGCACCATCATTTGGGTGCATTGTGATGTTCCAATTTACAAAAGAAGAAACCAACACCATGCTCAAAAAGTAAAACGGAAAAGAATGCTTGACAAATATGGAAGAAAACTGCCTTCCTTGCTAGGAGCGAGGAATTGGCAAATCTGACCATTTTGCTTTCTCTGTTTCCCATTTTTCTGTTAAGTCCAGTTCTCCACATTTCAATCTTTTTTTAAGTACTCATGAAAATTCGCCATCATTTCCGCGTGAATTTCTCATAATATGCACATTTTTGCATGCAATTCCTCCTGATAGATGCGTTTTTGCAATTTCCCTTTATATGATGCATCTTTGTATGCTATCTACTGTAATATATGTTCATTTATGTACACTGTACCCTAGTTTCTGCATTCTTGGCTGAAGAAGTGCATTGCAAAATTCAGAGAAGTGCAAAGTTCAAGGGATAGTTATGCTTTGGTTAAAGAATGGTTTCGGAAAGGGTGAATTATGGCTTACATTGGAGGCTACTCGTAGGGCACTGGTGGCTATAATCCAGGGTAGGTAAGACAGTTGTTTACCATAGATTTATAATTTTCTGGAAGCTGTCCAGAGTGGCTTGGGCAGCCCAGTCAGATGGGTGGCATATAAAATCATCATCATCATCATTTTTCTCTTACACTAGCTAAAGGGTAACATGATTATTGTGAACTGAGGTAAGGAACATGAACTGAAATGGTGTAAGAGAATACGATTCCTACGTGTTAATTAACACACTTTTAATTTCAGATTTTTTGGAGTGGGGCTTAGGATGGAACAGCAACTCATTATCCCATCACCTTGAAACTTTCTCATACACTACATAGAAAAGTTTTCTACCATTCATCCATTGGTGATGCTGCTTCAGCCACCAGAGTTCTTAGCTTATAATTCTACATCATTTAGAATAAGACAGAGAAGTTATCTCCAAAACAAAGAGATCAATGTACCCAATAAATTGTTATTTCCCATTGAATCCTCTACGCCCCATATGGATATCTATTTTAATGCCTATGTAAGGTGTAAAAGATCACTTCCTGTACCTAAAAATTGCAATGGAGTCTCTATATGTGGATCGGGGCCCTGGTTAAGTCAGAGACATTCAACACTCACCCCCACCCAGTTCTGTGATGCAAATCTCTCCTACCCTGAAACTACTACTAGCTGGAGATGGGAAAACATGCAGGCAGATTGTACTATTGCACTGAAGAATTAGGAAGTGAGAACGGACTGACTCCCCCTTCTCTTGCAACAGAGCTCCATCTGAAATACTTTTCAGAAATGAAAAGGAATAGGGAATCCAATCACAGATTCTTGCATTGCAGAGTCAGATCCTTGGCTATTAATGGGGCATGAAAGATCTCAACTTTGGCTAGAGTGTTCCCAAATTTTGTTTGGCTTACGAGGGTAGTGCTTTTGAAATGTTGCTCTTTAATTTAACAAGGAACGATTCTGGGTCTAAACCTCCCTTTTTCTTTTTTTTTAAAAACAAAAAATTGAAATACAAAATATCCTCATTTTTTAAAAACAACAACAAAACAAACCACCCTCCCTCAACACTTTCATCAGGAATTTTCTCATAATTATACAATCAGTCTTTCTCTCTATCTGTCTATAATTTTATCATAATTATACAATTAGTTTTTTTCTCCCTGCCTGTTGTCATTTACTTCAGTATTACAAACAACACAGCTTGTGAGTGAAATGGATTTTAAACTAGTTTGCATCGTGTTTCTCAATCCAATGCTTATCATCAAGAGGGAGAAAAAGGAAAACTATTACAAAGCAACCTGTTGATGCAGCCTAAGTTAGCCAAACATACAAGAAGTTCTCCCAATGAATACTACAGGGAACTTATCTTATTCTTCTTACCTGTAGGTATTTTGGAAGGGTTATGGAGAAGCAGGAAAGGCGGTGCTGTCTCTTTCTTCTGGGACTTCTGGAAGCCTTGAGGATCCAAGAGTATTTGTCTGCTGGTCTCTCCTGCTCAGTCACGGATATCTATATATACTGTTCAGCTCTGGCAAGCACTTATAGGAGTGCATCATTGCTGACAGTTTCCTTAGTCAATTGCGGTGGGGTGGGGGAATTCTGTTGTTTGCCATTCTTTGCATTTGACCATTTTTTTACAACTGATTTCACACGTCTGTTCTGTTTACTCTGTGACATCAGTGTTGACACAGAGCCTAACAAAGTCAATGAGGTGTCACTGTCAAAAGAAGTAACTGTCACCGTGATATTAGACCGACCCAGCATAGGAATCGAGCACAATTAAATGCAATTCATATTTGATCGCACAAATACTGTGGTCACGATCCAGAATAAGGCGTTTTAAAGCATTCCAGAATGAAGTATTCTAAAAAACCCTTTTAACACAGGGGGCTGTCAGACCATTGATTCATCTAGCTCAGTATCATGTTCACCTACTGGAAGATGCTTCCAAGGGTTTCAGGAAGGGGATATTCCCAGCCCAACCTGGAGATGCTAGGGATTCAACCTGAGACCTTCTGCAAAAATGATGCAATTGTAAAACTGAAAACTTTTTTTTAAAAGTAGAACCTGGGACTTTCTCCATACAGGGCAGATCCTCTACCACTGAGCTACGGCCTTATTTGTCCACCTGTGTGTGATTTATTGGTGGTACTGCTGGTACAATGGCGGGTGGCGCTATGGTCTAAACCACTGAGCCTCTTGGGCTTGCTGATCAGAAGGTCGGCGGTTCAAATCCCCACGAAGGGGTGAGCTCCTGTTGCTCTGCCCCTGCTCCTGCCAACCTAGCAGTTCGAAAGCATGCCAGTGCAAGTAGATAAATAGGTACCACTGCGGTAGGAAGGTAGATGGCGTTTCTGTGTACTCTGGTATCAAGGTGTTCTGTTGCGCCAGAAGTGGTTTAGTCATGCTGGCCACATGACCTGGAAAGCTGTCTGTGGACTAACACCGGCTCCCTCAGCCTGAAAGTGAGATGAGTGCCACAACCCCATAGTCACCTTTGACTGGACTTAACTGTCCAGGGGTCCTTTACCCCTTTACTTTTTTTACAATGCATTTTAGGTTGGGGTGTGTCCCCTTACTTGACAGTCCATGCTTGAGGATCCTGTTACTGCAAGGTTGCAAAACCATGCACTGTAACATGGGAGTGGGCTCTATTTAGCACAGCAGTATCCTCTCCAAGTGTCCCGATTATCCAGGGACAGCCCAGGAATTACAAAAGTCATCCCGGCTTCTGATTTGATCCTGGAATGTCCCTATTTTCCCTGCCAGTGCTGCCACCGCTGAGATTAGAAAGGCGGATGTGCCAGCGATTGCCCCAAGTGGCAGCTGTGGCTGTGAGGGAGCATCCCATTGCCTCTCCATGGCCGCTGCTGCCAACCTCCTCCATTGGGCAGCTCACAGCGGCTGCTGGAGAGTGGGCAAGCAGGAGGAGAGGCCTCTGCTCTGAGGGGCAGGCCAAGGGCACGGCTCCCCAGAGAGCCAGTGTGGTGTAGTGGTTAAGAACGGTAGACTCGTAATCTGGTGAACTGGGTTTGCTTCCCCGCTCCTCCACATGCAGCTGCTGGGTGACCTTGGGCTAGTCACATTTCTCTGAAGTCTCTCAGCCCCACTCACCTCACAGAGTGTTTGTTATGGGGGAGGAAGGGAAAGGAGAATGTTAGCCACTTTGAGACTCCTTCGGGTAGTGATAAAGCGGGATATCAAATCCAAACTCTTCTTCTTCTCTTCTTCCCCTGGGTGGAAAGAAAGGGGGAGCGGAGCAGAGCGGAGCACAAGGAGTCTTGTTTGTTTGTTTGTTTGTTTGTTTGTTTAAATTGCTTTGTGCACCCATGCCTATTCTTGCCCCCTTTCTAAAATTTAGTGTGTGTTTTTCTGTTTGTAAATCTACCGAAACAGTGGCACATGTCCTCCTGTCTTGCACTCTCTACAAAGACCTGAGGAATGAGATCATCATCCCATTCGTACTAATCATCCCAGGGCGCTCAACCACTGCCACAATGTCCTTTCCTTTATCAGATCAAAATAAGCAGATAACATTAAAGGTTGCTAGGTTCATAGCAGGGACAATCAGAATAAGGGCCACTAACTTAAATTGTGCTCTTATATCAAACTTCCTTTTCTGCGTATACTGTAATGTTTTACTTTTGCTATGGCCATTGGCTAATGCGAATAAAGGTTTATTTTATCTTACCAAAGAAGAAAATAAAATAAAATTTGGTTTAAGGGTTTTTCTCAGGACGGTGGAGGGTGTGAGTGCTGTGGTTGTGGTGGCCCTCACCCTTTTTCTGATAGGAAATACACTGCAGGTGGGGGGAGGACAAAAATGGGGGGTTGAGGAGGGTTGGTTGGGGTGCGAGAGAGAAATGTCCCTATTTTCAACTGAGGAATGTTGGTGGGTATGCAGTCGGACTTGTCTTCTAAGTGGGTCTGCATATGATTGGCCAGCACCTGCATTTACAGGGCTGTGTGCCAGATTCATCTGAATCCCAAAGTGAATTGAGCCAGTTTAGGTGACACTGGGCTTCCACCAAGTCAGATTGAGACAGCCCCATATTGAGTCAGGTTGGCCCACCCAGAGCACTCTGGGTCTCTCAAGGGGCAGGATGATGGTTGGGAAGAAGGAGAAGTCATCTGGCTCTTCAAAGAGCAGCACAGGGCTAAGTTTCTAAAAGGACTTTCCAATAGCTCTGTATTTTGGCTGCACACTTGATCCCAACAGAGGAACCCATGTGTGCAGCCACACTGAGCAGGACTGAACCATCAAGAAACCTGAATCACCCTAAAGCCCCTAATTAAACATTAGCTCTGACCCTGAATTGATCTGGGCCAGATCCAGGCCAAGTATACCCGTGTGTGTGTGTGTGTGTGTGTGTGTGTGTGTGTATACAGCTGTAGTATTGACCACAGCAGTCCACAGAGCTCAAATTGCTTCTGTAAAGGATGTTGTGCGCATCCATGCATCAAGACGGTAAATGGCCGTTCATGGGATGACGTTTGATCTGGACTTTTTACAGAGATAACATTGCTTACCCACACATTGCCTGCTTCTCCCCCCCCCCCCCAACACCTGTATGCTTCAGTGCCCATTCGCTCCTGATGGCAAATATGTCAAAATCAACACCAGCAGCATTTGACGTTAGTAATGGGGTAGGGAGACAGGAAGCACAAGTGACTTGCTCTTCCTGCTCATCATGTATCTTTGCAATGTCCTCTGTTTAATTTCCACATCTGTCCCTTGGGTCAATTCTGCAAGCTGTCCGCACATTGGGAGACTGCACAGCTAATGGCAAAGGCAGATGTGGAGGTTCTACCTAAGTCAATGGGGAAAAGGAAGCAGAGGCTATTGTACCTTAGCAGACTATTGGAAATGATTTTTTTTTAATGTACAACTAGCTCTATCAGCCCTATTGGACATATCTGGCCATTAACGTACTCTACACAGTCCATAAAACATTGGTGGAGCAGCACGTACAAAGGAGCTGGAATGGAAGAACGAGTCTAATCAGGTGTGGGGCGAAACATAAAGTCTCCTAAGATCTGCTTTGTGGTTTGCCATCAGAATGGCTTATTTATTTCAAAGCATTCTATGCCTCTTTCCCCAGGGCGTACACTTTGGGGCGTGGCCATATTCCAGAGCTAGGGCATCTGCTCATGAAGAAGACCCCAGGTTCAGTCCCCAGGTAGGGCTGCGAAAGTCTCCTGCCCCAAACCCTGGAAAGTCACTGCCGGCCAAAGCATGCATTACTGAGCTCAGTGGACCCAGTGGTCTGGCTTGGCAGAAGGCAGTTTCCTATGCACATCAAGTGTTTACAAAGAACAGACAACATCTCTCTAACGTAAAAAGAAATATCATTTATAGTCCCCAGGGCCACTCAAACGAAGTGCTCTTGATCAACATGTTTGTTTCTTTGTTGACACACTTGGCTAGCTGAATAGTGTTTCAGGAGTGACTGGTTTCTACAAGCCATTTCCCCTGAAGACCAGCATTTCGCTCAAACTGTGCTGGGGACTGCCATTGTTTCAATCAGTGTGCGCCCGAAGGGGTTTGATGCCACTTGTCATGCTGATGTGTTGTGCTGCCCTATCTTTGCAGCATTTTAAGACATTTCTCAAAACATTTCCTTCCTATTCCCCCCTCCCAACCCCTCCCACCACCAGTGGGGATATTCTTGATCTGCAGCTGGAACCATTTTCTTGCAAAATCCCCAGGGTGTGTGTGTGGACCTTGATAGTGTACAAAAGCTGATCTATTTCTGTAACTTGCATGGACGGGCGCTGAGGTTTTATGGATTTCTGTTTTGCAACAAAGAGAAGAAAGGGCAGACGGCTGCTTGCTTGGAGCTAGAAGTGCGCCTGACTTTGCCTCACGGCCTGGAAAAATCCAAGGCACCAGATTGCTGGAGCCTATAGAAAAATCACATTGGCATCTAGGATTCTGAAAACCTTTTTGCTGTTATGGTGGGCAGTGATGAAGAGCAATGCACACACTCCAGTGACGTGGTCTAGCTGCTTCCTTATCGTTTGATCAGGGTCTCTGAGCCATTGGGAAAAGCTGAGCAGGGTCTCTGAACCATTGGGAGAAGCTGAGCAGGCCAGCCAGCATGAGGAAGGAACAAGCATCACCATGAAGAACATAAGAAGACCCTGCGCTACCAGGCCAGTGACCCATTCAGTTCAGCATCCTGTTCTTACAATGGAAGCAGAAACATGAGCACAAGAGCCCTCTCCTCTCCTGTTGTTTCCAGCAACTAGTATCTAGAAGCATTTCTGCATCCAATCATAGAGGTAGATCACAGCCATTATGGCTAGTAGCCATTGATAGCCCCCACCTACACGAATGTCTCTAACTCTCTTTCAAAGCCATCCAAGTTGGTGGACGCGGGTGGCGCTGTGGGTTAAACCACAGAGCCTAGGACTTGCCGATCAGAAGGTCGGCGGTTCGAATCTCCGCAACGGGGTGAGCTCCTGTTGCTCGGTCCCTGCTACCTGTCAACCTAGCAGTTCAAAAGCACATCAAAGTGCAAGTAGATAAATAGGCACCGCTCCAGCGGGAAGGTAAACGGTGTTTCCGTGCGCTGCTCTGGTTCGCCAGAAGCTGCTTAGTCATGCTGGCCACATGACCCGGAAGCTGTACGCCAGCTCCCTCAGCCAATAAAGCGAGATGAGCGCCGCCACCCCAGAGTCGGCCACGACTGGACCTAATGGTCGAGGTCCCTTTACCTTTACCTTTAAGTTGGTGGCCATCTCTGCCTCCTTGGGGGGAGGGGAACAAATCTCATAGTTTGACTATGCTCTGTGAAGTGGTACTTTTAAAAATCTGCCCTGAGTCTTCATATGTCCATCTTCGTTGGATGTCCACAAGTTCCAGCGTTACAAAAGAGGGAGGAAAAAGTTCTCTATCCACTTTCTCCTTGCCAAGCATCATTCTAGGAGTGTATAGCATGTTGCCTCTTACTTGCCTTTGATCTAAACCAGGGTTGCTGGACTACAGCTCCCATCATCCCTAGCTAGCAGAGCCAGTGGTCAGGGATGATGGGAATTGTAGTCCAAAAACAGCTAGCGACCCATTTTTGGGAAACCCTGATCTAAACAAAAAGCTTAAACTAGGCCACTGTAGAGGTTGCTGGCATCAGGAGATTGTAACAGGCGGGAAGGAGAGCTGCTGTTTGTCTGCATCTGCCAGCGTCCATCACCCTGGGAGGAAGCCTCACTCTGCATAATGGGAAGGCCAGCTTGGATTTCTGACAAGTTCTTAAGAATTCTTATGCAGTATTCCATAACCAGATACCTCCAAACGGAAATGGAGGCACACATAAGATCCGCTTCAAAACGGGGGGCCTATGTCTAGTATTTTCAAGCAGGAAAGTGTGCATGTGTCTTCCTTTCCAGAACTTTCCTTCTTCCTAGTTGTAAATAATAATAATTTTATTATTTATACCCCGCCCATCTGGCTGGGTTTCCCCAGCCGCTCTGGGAGGCTTCCACCACATATAAAAACAGAAGAAGAAAGTCCATCCCCACCGATGCAGATCCACAGATAGGCAGCAGATGGCGCACATTGTGCGATGTCTTTCACGTGGCTGTCCGGCCTTTTCGTAAATGGATTGCAACCAAAACTCAGAAGGATTGTTTCAGCTGATTGGAATACCTACGCCCAATTTCTTTTCTTCTGCTTGTACTATGACATATCTGGCACAAACCACAAGGAGTCCCATGGCACCTTAAAGATGAGCACATAAAGCTTTTCTGAGCGAGAGATCTTTTCTTCAGATTTCTGGTGGAAGTTTAACCAAGCACAAATTTAATCCAGTAAAATAACCTGACTCAAAGGAGAAAAAGACTTGCTCGTACCTAGGCACAGTTGTGTAGAAGTGAGGGTTTTGGCTGCTACACATTGCACCTTTAATACACATTCAAAGCACTGTAGTTTACCCCTCACAGAGTTTCAGTTCCAAGCAATGTTTAACAAACTAGAGTGCCCAGTTTTCTATGAAGGGGGAAATGTGCTTCAAATGTGCACATTCAGCTATAAAAACTTCCTGGGCTTCAGCCAAGCCGCTACCCCTTAGCTTCCCTACCTTAGGACTGGACATCTAGCATCCAGGATTCTCATCTGAATTATTTTACTGGCCTATTTCCCAAGCTACATTTTGGTATTTGTGGATTATTTATTTATTACCCACTCTTTCGCCTTCAGGTTTTTAGTGTTATTAAAATATAACATAGAGGCACACACAACCAGGGCCGGATTTAGGTTTGATGAGGCCCTAAGCTACTGAAGGTAATGGGGCCCTTTATATGTCCAGCTGTCCTTTGTCAACAACAAATTGTCGCTGTTTTTTGTGTTGAATATATGATATATGGTAATTTATGGACCTAATAGGTATCTAAAGCCATTTGTACATAACAGTTAGGAGCCTACACAACACAAAACGCTGTTGCTGCATGCAGGTTTTATTTTATTTGTTTTTTATCTTATATTTTGGAAATGTACATCCAGCTTTTTTTCCCTTTCAATTTTTTGGGGGACCCCAAGAGAGTGGGGCCCATAGCTTATTTAGCTTATACGTAAATCCGGCACTGCACACAGCAGAGACATGAAGAGCCACACAGCCTTCAACCTCAGGTGATTCATTCCAGCTGAAAAGGGAAGCTGTAGCAGATCCCACCGTTGTATGCCAATTGTGGTGGATCCAAACCACGTACGCACCCAATAATAACCACCACAGGTTATCTTTTTGGATTTTGTGTGAGGGAAAACTTTGGTACTTGGAGACTCAGGCAGAAGTTGAACAAATAAGTAAGATATATTTATCAGAACAAAGTGGATAAAACAAAGGAGGTATCAGGAGGTCATGTTCTTTCAGGAAACAGTTAACTTGTTTAATATTATTCTAATCTTATGCTAAGATTCAGGTAGGTAGCCGTGTTGGTCTGACACAGTCGAAATAAATAGAGACCAACTAAGTTTGTTCTGGGTATAAGCTTTCATGTGCATGCACACTTCTTCAGATCTGTTTCCTGAAAGAACATGACCTCCTGATACCTCCTTTGTTTTTTCCACTTTGTTCTGTTAAATATATCTTACTTATTTGTTCAACTTCTGCCTGAGTCTCTAAGTACCAAAGTGCTACTGGACAATTTTTTAAATTTTTTAAATTTATTTATGCTAAGACTAATAGATGTTACAGCTTCTTTTAAACTTCAGTTGCTTATGTTCAGTTATTGCACTTCAGGTAGATACTATAGGTTTCTAAACTAGACGGTAAATTCTCAGCTTATTTCCAGCTATTTCACTCAGTTGTTGCTTAACTCAGTTGTTGCTTAAGTGTTACAACTTAATACTTCAGTTCTTAACCAAGGTGGTACTTTCTGTCAGTTACCCAACCATTTGACAACCACACTCCTGAGGTCCTCCAAATAGTACAACAGACCCAGGGGATCACCATAACTGGTTTGGGAGTCTTCTCTTTCTAAAAGAGCTTTCCTCTCCTGACTGGAATGAGACCCAAGTAGACAGCATTCTCACAGCATCTACTTTTCTTGGCTCAGACTCAGCTGCCCAGTTAATTTCTGTCTGAATACTCTCCCAAGACACTAAAACCTGTCTTCCTATCTAAGCTAAGAGACTCTGGATATGAGACTATACTATGAAGCATCTTGTCTTTGTTGGTTGAAGGAACGGATGACATTAGAGAATTCACATGTTCTAGACTTAGAAGGTCATGATAATATTTTTGGCTAGCTGTAGATATTTTCCTCAGAGTGGATGTCACGGAGAGACCAGAACTGACTCACTAACACTCCCTCCCCAAACTAACTCTCAGACTAAACCCTAGCTCTATCTGAACGTTCTCTCAGAAACTTCTCCTTTTATTCTTCCTCCCAAAGGCCTGCTCCACCCCTCTCTGACTAGCTGTCTTGGTAGCGAATCAGAGAGACGCTCCAGCCCTCTGGTGGAATTTTGAGGCACTGCATCACCCGACTATCGTCTGGCTCTGCTGTCTGTCACAGAAGGGGTCAACACCTTCTATTTGTTTATCACATGATCAATCAGATGACCAGGGAGGGGACATTTAGCTCTGTTCCCTCCCTGTGGCTGCTTTAAATTTCCTCTCTCTTTGCCTCTGCATCCCAAATCTGTGTGTGGGGCGGTGTCTTTGCAGGCCATTAAAAATTGTTTTGTAGCCCCCCCCCAATGGATAAGATTGCAGCTTAACTGCAAGCAACACTATTTCTTTTTTAATCCACCATAGTCAGAACTTGAAGTTGGCTACTTTCAATTTACGCAAGCAAAGGACTTTGCGCCCTGAGAGTACTTCTGACTGTAGTTTCAGAAAATGAAATTTTAATGGAAAATAATAAGCAGCGGCAAAACAGGAATAATCTCATTTAACTGCAAGTGATTAGAGCACTTAGGCAAAATGTACTAAACATCTGCACCCTCTGATTGCAAACTTGTTAGGCACGCTGAAAAAAGGAAGATAAAATGGGATATAGATGTGATTTGATTCTTTTGATGACAAAACATGAAGTCACTAACATCTCGGCTGGCTGAGGATGCTTTTCCACAGTCAGTCATTCTGGCAGACCAAGGCTCAGTAGTCAGACGCGAGTCTTACTGTGTTCAACGAGTGTATAAGATTGCAACCTTAAAAACCTGGAGCAGTTTCCTGAACCTGGGCACCATCTTGCCTCACACAGCTTTGTGTTGGGAGATGCTAAAAGGCTGAGTTCATGGTTTCAGCTCCACTGTGGAAGAGAAAAACCATGCAGCTCAGAAGCTGTACTACAGATGCCTGAAATGAATAATAATAATAATAATAATAATAATAATAATAATTTATTATTTATAACGCACCCATCTGGCTGGGCTTCCCCAGCCACTCTGGGCGGCTTCCCAAAAAATATTAAAATACTATAATACATCAAACATTAAAAGTTTCCCTAAACAGGGCTGCCTTCAGATGTCTTCTAAAAGTCTGGTAGTTGTTGTTCTCTTTGACATCTGGTGGGATGAAGGATTAGCTCCAATTTTACATCAGGAAGCTTCTTCCGTTACAGTGGTGCCCCGCAAGACGAATGCCTCGCAAGACGGAAAAACCGCTAGACGAAAGGGTTTTCCGTTTTGAAGTTGCTTCGCAGGACGAATTCCCCTATGGGCTTGCTTCGCAAGACGAAAATACCTTGCGAGTCTTGAGATTTTTTTTTCGCTTTTCCCCCCCTTTATCTAATCTGCTAAGCCTTTAATAGCCTTTAATAGCCTTTTAGCAGCTAATCCCCTAAGCCTTTAAGCCTTTAATAGCCGCTAAACCGCTAATAGCGCTAATAGCGCTAATCCGTCAATGGGCTTGCTTCACAAGACGAAAAAACCGCTAGACGAAGACTCTCGCGGAACGGATTAATTTCGTCTTGCGAGGCACCACTGTATTGCCCCTTTAGACTGTACTTTGGTACAGGGTGCTCCAGATTACCGTTTATCATGAGATCAGTGTTCCTCAAGCAAGCAATAGGAAAGAAAAAAAAACCTTTCAGGATGGAACAAAACATGGTGTGTTTGCACTGCCTTTCAGACTCCTCCCCTTAAAAAATCCCACTCGTTTCCATGAAGAAGCTCCTTGCTCCATGGACTTTCTTGCTCAAACGTTTCAGTTAAACAACCCAGAGCTGCACATAGCGATGGAAGGATCTGTTCACTTCCGGCTTCTCTGTTCCTCCCTCCCCCCATCTGAAATTTGGCACATTTTGTAGCATTTTGTGATTTTTTTGAATTGCTATTTTAAAAAATCCTCATGAAAATTTACCAGCATTTTAGTACACCCCCCCGATAAATACATTTCACTATGTGGTTTTCACTAAGGTACACGTTTGTGCAAGCATTTTCCCCTAACATGGTGGATTTTAGCATGTATTTTCACTAATACAGTGGTACCTCAGGGTACAAACGCTTCGGGTTACAAACTCCGCTAACCCAGAAGTAGTACCTCGGGTTGAGAACTTTGCCTTAGGATGAGAATAGAAATGGTGCGGTGGCAGCGGGAGGCCCCATTAGCGAAAGGGCATCTACGCGGCAGCTAGACTGGTGACTGGGAGCGGCCGCAGAGACCACATAACACCGGTCTTGAAAGACCTACATTGGCTCCCAGTACGTTTCCGAGCACAATTCAAAGTGTTGGTGCTGACCTTTAAAGCCCTAAACGGCCTTGGTCCAGTATATCTGAAGGAGCGTCTCCACCCCCATCGTTCTACCCGGACACTGAGGTCCAGCACTGAGGGCCTTCTGGCGGTTCCCTCACTGCAGAAGCCAAGTTACAGGGAACCAGGCAGAGGGCCTTCTCGGTAGTGGTGCCTTCCCTGTGGAACACCCTCCCACCAGATGTCAAAGAGAACAACAACTACCAGGCTTTTAGAAGACATCTGAAGGCATCCCTGTTTCGGGAAGCTTTTAATGTTTGATGTATTATAGTATTTTAATATTCTTTGGAAGCCGCCCAGAGTGGCCGGAAGCCCAGCCAGATGGGCGGGGTATAAATAATAAATTATTATTATTATTATTATTATTATTATTATTATCTCAGGTTAAGAACGGTTTCAGGTTAAGAACAGACCTCTGGAACGAATTAAGTTTGTAACCCGAGGTACTGCTATACCTTCATTTTTATGCACACTTTCCTCTGATGTTTTTTTTTTTAAAAATAATTTTTATTCATTTTCC